CGCGGCACTGTGCCGAGTGTTGGTAGAGGAATGGAAGAGGAGGAGGTAGAGAAGGTGGAGGAGGAGGAGGAGGAGGAGGAAAGATTGGTAGAGAGTGGGGTTGATGAGGGCTATGTGAGCAGATGGGAAGGGGGGCAGGTGGGGGGGTGGGGTTGGGTGTAAGAGTGACGGTTCGTCGAGAACGCCGGTTGTGTTGCGGGAGGAGGCTTGCTCGGTGAGGGATGAGGGAAAAGGTGGAGTGAAGGGTGAGGCAGCACTCGGCCATCATCGGCTGAGGCGCGCACAGTTCAGTGACCTGCCTTGGTGTTCGATGGTGAGAGGATTGTGGGGAAACGGGAAGTTCTGACATATTGTGAGATGCCAGCCCGCTACGCCGGTCCCCGAAAAACACCACCATCTATCTATCTCTCTTTCTCTTTCTCTTTCGTATGCGTACGTATACACGTATAACACACGACGCATACTCTTACTCGAAGCTCGTCGAACCCCGAAATATATTCACGCGGCAGTCGTGAACTTTCCGCGAGTTTTTCCGGCCGTATTTAATACAATACGAAGAAAGAAGGATATACGACAACCCATCTAACCAACCAACCACCCACCCACCCCCTCCCTCACCTAACGCTTTTGTTTATTTATTTATTTGTTTATGCGTGTGCTGTTTATTCGATCGTTCGTTCGTCGTTTCTTTTTATATATATATATTCTTTTGACAGTGTGTGTGTGTTTGTGTGTATATGCTTGCGTTAATATATATATATATATATATATATAAATATAATAAAAATATACATTGAGAATGTGTGTACTTATAAAGTGTTTGAGTGACACGTGTTATTTTTGAAACACAGTAGTGGAAAAAGGAAGTTAAAAATCTTGGCGAAATATTTAAACGAAGAAAGGGAGAAGGATAGTTCGTTGCTTCCTGGTTTATTGCCATCGTCTTCGTATTCATTTTTATCATCATCATCATCATCATCATCACCGTTGCTGTTGCCGCTGCACATTCCTATTTTTTGTCTCATTGCTATCCTTCCACATACAATACACATATACATACTTCATATTCTTCTTCTTATTTTATTTTTTATTCTTCTTCTTGTATTTTCTCGAGTATCGAATCGAAAGAAGGGACACATCGAAAAGAACAACAACAACAAAAACTCGCAAGAGTTAGCCGGAAGAGAACGATGAGAGTGTGTTAACACTACTAGCCGCCAGCGTGCATGTGTTTTTGGTGTTTTACGTGGCCGAAAAATATGAGTATAGTAGTGACGCCGGTTAACTAAACGAAATGATACAAGGAATGGGTTGGTTCACTTTTGGATTTGATCCAAATCGAAAACTTGTTTTACCGTTACCAACCACCCACCTCCTCTCTCCTGCATTACCCTAGTACTCGTTAGTGACATTAAATAGTTTCGTTCGGTTTGGTTCGGTTCAGTTAGTTTGTTTGTTTGTTTGTTAGTTAGTTAGTTAGTTAGTTAGTGATAGTGGTAGTGCAAAATCTTAAGTGTATTTTCCTGATCGCGCGTTTGTGTATTGGCGCATGCGCGACACGCGCGACCGCTCGTGGCGGTCGAGCTGTCGGAAACGAGTAGATTCTTCATAGTATACGTGTGTATGTTTGTGTATGTGAAAGCGTGTATAAGTTAGTATACGTATTGGGAGTCTTCCTACGTTGGACTTGCGGAACGTGTTCCCCTTCGTGTGTGTCTTTTTTTTAATTTAATCGTTGCTCAAAATATTTGTTTAGAATTATTTTTTTTTTTTTTTTTTTTTAAGATATATATATATATATATATGTATACCTCTTCGTCAAATGAATATTGTGTAATTCTTTATCTTACTTCTCTTCTTTACTATCAAATAGATAAGATTACCTAAAAAACAGAAACAGAAATAGAAATAGAAAGAGAGAAAGGAAAGAGTTTAAGAGACTAAGGGGATTGGACGTTTTTCTTCAATAAGAAAATGGCGAATAACGAACATAACCTCTTCCACCATGGTCCTCGACTATGACAATGTAAACCGGTATTTCACCGTACCGTCGGGATCTCTTAAGAGATCTTTCAAACAACTTCACCTTCTCAAACGAACGTCGTGGACCTACGGCATATCTTTTTTCTCTTGATTGTCCTTTTATTTTAGTTGTTGTGTCGTCGTCATCGTTGTTACACCCAATGATCGTGTCTCGTTACACCCTAAAAACAATTACCTTCTTTTTACCATTAGATTAATCAATCCTACGCTTATAATCATAACCATCTCACTTATTCCTTCGTCGTGTTCTTCGTTTTTTCGAATAAAACCGAAAAAAGATACTACAAACACGCGCGCGCGCGCGCGCACACACACACGTACACCGCGTGTGCAGAAAATAATCCTCGGTAAATTTTACTCTTCAAATATTTTCATTTCTTACGTTTCCTATCTATATTTCGTTATAATATACAAAAATATATATTTATAAAGAAAAAAAAAAAAAAAGAATAAAAAGAAGCAACAATTTCTTTCTATCAAGTGACTTTATATACACACTATCTCAAGCACGTGGGCTTTCGTTTAACGATCGTCACAACTCCTCTATCTTTCTTTCTTAATCTGTTTCAAGTACTCGTCGTACGACCTGAAAGAAAGAAATAAAATAAAATAAAAAATAAAATTAAATAAAATAAATAAAAAAGAAAAGAAAAAAATACTTAACGCGTAACGAGATCGCAATCGTCATTCCGACCAACACAACTTGGGCTGATACTTTAAACGATAGCAGGAGACAACGAGAATCTCTTTTTTTATTTGATAAAGAAAGAAAGAAAGAAAGAGATAAGAGAAGAGAGGAGAAGAGAGAAGAAAGGTTACAAAAATTTGGTCCCCCTATTATTTTTTCTTTTCTTTTCTTTTTTCATTTGGGGAGTTCCGGGTATAGAAGAGTCCTAGTAGTAGTAGTAGTAATAGTAGTAGTAGTAGTAGTAGTATAACCGGCGCGTTGCACTCTTGCTGGGGCAAGGCATGACGCACGTCGAAGATGCGAGCGTGCCGGGTGACTGTACTCTGGGTTCATCGTTCTCGGTTATGTAATGTTCGACCGTATGGTGCAAGCGCCTCAACGCTACTCGTGGCGCTAGAGTTGTCCAACGAGAGAGAGAGAGAGAGAGAGAGAGAGAGAGAGAGAGAGAGAAAAAGAGAGAGAGAGAGAGGACACACACACGCATACGCACACGCATATATGTATACATACACAGATTCAAAAACAACAGGGCAAACCAAATCTCTTCGTTGCTTCCGTGCCCTCCTCCTCCCTCCTCCCTCCTCCTCCTCCTCTTCGTTTTTCACGTATATATGATACATATATTATTACACGTACGTGTTACGCGTGTATATATGAATATATGGAATGTATGTGGCATCGTACATGTGCGTGACGTTGTTCCTCTCTTTCTCTCTTTCTTTCTTTCTTTCTTTCTTTCTCTCTCTCTCTCTTTCTCTTCTTGCATTGGCTTAACGCACTCATATACCGATATTGAGAGAGCCAGTAGCAACAGCAGCAGCAACAGCAACAGCAGGCAGCAGGCAGCAGTAGCATGCAGTAGCATCATCATATGAGCAAGCAAGCTCCGAACGAAAATAGAGACCGGCGAGAAACATTTCTGTACACTCGGCGCATTATTTTGTTCTTCCTTTTTATTTTACTTTTTTTTTTCGGGTTAATTCTACACCTACATCAGCAGCCCCCTCCAACAACACATTACCCCAGCCCAACCCAACCCAGCCCAGTCCAGCCCAATTCAGCGTCACCCCCCGGAACCCATTTTCTTGACTTTGAATGAAGTCATTATTTTCTTATTTTTCCTTTTCGTTTGTTCTCTTTGATTTTTGTCTATCCGTTAGACGAAAGTGGCAAACGAATAATAAGCAAGCAAGCAAGCAAGCAAACAAACAAGCAAGCAAGCAAGTGGTCCCCATTATTCCACGATATAGCGTGGCAACATTAAATTAAGGAGAGGACCGAGATTGAATGTCTGCCTCGAATAAATATTCAACGAAATTCTTCTTTAAAAAGGGAACATTATTATACGGACATATATTTTTGTGGTATTGCGATACGATTTATCGTTACGTATCTAAGAACGGTGATGAAAAGAGAGGAACATTGAGGAGGATTGAACAAAAGAAAAAGGAAGAGGAGGAGGGGGAGGGGGAGGAGCAGGGCAATCGTGAGAATATTATTATTATCATTATTATTATTATTATTCGATGATTACGATTGCGAGAGGAAAAAAAGGATGGACGGTACTGAGGATGAATTATAATAATGAAGAGGACAAAATCATTGCCAGATGACAACTGGTTGTTAATGATAAAATAAAAACGAACAGGTGGAGGAGGTGGAGGAGGAGGAGGAGGAGGAGGAGGAAGTGGTGGAGGTGATGGTGATGGTGATGGTAGTGGTGGTGGAGGTGTAGGTGTAGGTGGTGTCTCAGTTTTGTCAATGGAAGGAACAAGTCTTTCGATATTTGGTGGATCTACTTGGGGTGCGGACAGTACTAGCCCGCAACCTCAGGACGATTCAAGACAGAGAACTGCTATTAATCAAAATCAATCAACGAGTCCTGCGAATAATCATCGTCATTCCGCGGATGATCGTAAACTGCACGTTAATTCGATACGAGGTACTCGATTATTTCGGATTCGATTACTTCGCACACATTGATAATTAATTAATATCATTCTAAGAAATTATTAAGATGATCAATGAAGAATTATTGGGAATGATATAGGAATAGATTATTATTATTATTATTACTTTAATTTTTTTATTCATATTCAACGATATAATTCGCGTTTCGATGTATTCTCTATAAAGGAAATCAAAATATGTTTATATATATATGATACGATTAATTAAATTTAATGAATTAATTATTATTATTATTATTATTACGACTATAATAATTAAAATCAAACATATGTTTTACTCATTGTAATGATTATTTCAGCCCAGATCGAGATAATCCCGTGCAAGGTGTGCGGCGACAAGAGCAGCGGAGTTCATTACGGTGTGATCACCTGCGAGGGTTGCAAAGGTTTCTTCAGGCGGTCCCAATCGTCTGTAGTCAACTACCAATGTCCGCGGAACAAAAACTGCGTGGTCGACCGTGTAAACAGAAACCGGTGCCAGTATTGTCGTTTGCAAAAGTGCCTACGCCTTGGCATGTCCAGAGATGGTGAGTACAACACATATACACACATATAACCCAAACAACCCTAACTCCCCCTTGCCCCCCTTCTGCATTCCACATGGATAATAATAATATCTTTGAAAATGTATTTTTATACAATTAGTTGCTTCTCTCGTCTCCAAAAATGAAATTATTAATGAATAGGTATCGTAGGGAATGTTCAAATTTATTTTTATAATTTATTTATATATATATATATATACATGTGTATTAATAATAATAAGAAGGTATCATAGGGAATTTGGACATCAAAA